CCTGCTTCAGCCAAAATACACAAGAATCTGACGTTGGTTATTTTAAGCCTCTTTGAAATTATGTTTAATTCAAGTCATCATATTTCAAGTTACTTTAATTATCATGATGACACAGAACTTGCCTGTTGCTTTTGATGCCACAAATTGAGACATATGTTAGTGTTTATTATTGTATTCACACTCTGTCTGTCTCTCTCACGCATTCTCTGCATTCAAAATTGTGGCAGTGGGTGTAGTGATAACAATGTAGGCTGCACTAGAGCAGGGCTTTACAATAGAGGGAACAGTGGGGATATACAGACTGGAGTCAGGGGCCCATCCATTAGCTTGACAGAGTGGAGAAGCTGCCAAGAGTATGAGCGCATGCTTTGGAGCATGCTCCTCAGTGGGCGTGTGTCTAACTGCGCCCGTACTGCCACGGTTCCTCCGAGCACCACCAGAGCGTCGGCTCTGGCCAGTGGCCTATGTCCATCTCACCGTCTGTGTCTGGAAGGAACCACAGGGAGGCTCTGTTCAGCCCGGCTCTGATCAGCTTGGCCCAGAACCTGAGAGAAGACGGGGGGGGGGGCGACATTACAGCCCAGCTCTCCCATCAGACTGTCTGCCTTGCCGTTCCCTGAGGAAATCAGTTTAACAGTCCCCAGATCTTGGCAAGCAAAGGGAGAGGGGGTGGAGGAACAAGGAAGAGGTGTGAGAGAGAGAGAGAGAGAGAGAGAGAGAGAGGGGGGGGGGGGGGGGGGGGGAAGGGGGATGTTACTGCTTCTCTGGGCGAGAGGGAAATCTAATAAAATTGAACTAATGGGGGTTTGGAGTTTTAGGGCACAGAGAGTGGGTTTAGCCGACAGGCACCGGTGGGTAGTGCTGGTGGTGGAGATGAGGAGGATGGAATTAGATCCTCTGAGTGCTTGGCAAAGCAGCAGAGCCAAAGTCCTGCTTTCAGCTGCAGATGGCGAACCTGTGTCGGGTTTAGAGCGCGAGTTAGGGGGCCACAAAAAATACTGCCAGGAAAATGACAGCTGTGATATATTATGCAATTTGAAAATACTGTGTGCGTACACATTGATCACTGTGCTGGTGTTGTGTTAACAAAAGGCTGTACGACACAGACAGAAGCTTTAATGTTTCTCAGTGGACTCTTTAATTTGAAGCGGAAGATCTCCATTTAAAACCGTGATCTTTTTGCACTTAAACTATGACTCTGCAGACTAGTTAAATCTTTCTAACCTACTGTGAGGCGCCTGAGGGCCACAGGTCCCCTGATAGTACACTGCTCCACTTTTAAGGGGAATAAAAGTGCTCACCCTGACCTCACTGGGTTTGATTTACCCATCCTGAGGCGGGTGTGGTCTCCTCCCTTTGTACCTGCTCCGTGCTCTTGCTTCCTCCACCCAGGGTTAATAGATATGAAGTCATCTGGCGAGGAGAAACCTGAGTGTGTTCTCAGGATGTGCCCAGAGCACTCACAGGGACATCACTCAAAGCCCACCGTGTCAGAGAGGAAGCAGCCATTAATAAATATCATTAATGGGTGATCACCTGGTATCTGTGAAACCACATAAATGAGAGACCTAAAAAAAAGAGTGGGAGTGGAGAGATCAGGGGGCAAAGGTCTGCGAGGTGACAGTCCCCCTCTGGGCAAAAGGCTGAATCAGGGATGGTGTTTTAACAATGGGAAATCAATAGGCTTACTACTTTAAGTACACTTACAGAATGCATGAAATGTAGCGTCAAATGCATTACATAAATATAGGCTGCTAGTTTATAGATTTATCCTGGTAGAAGCTGACATGTCTTTGTGGTGTCATGGACTGCTCATCCTCTTGTTGTGTCTTTGCTGTGTTTTTCCAATTTCCCACAACAGCGAGGCAGACAGTGGTAGGACAGACTGTGCCATCCCATCTGTGTGTGCTCTGTACTGCCACAGGCTAACACCTGCACTGATTTAATGACTGTTTGCTGCAGCGACCATGTTGCTGCAGGAGAAATGTATACGTATGTGTGTGTGTTATTAGAGTAAAATGCATGTGGTAGTTAAGTTCTTGTGCTCAGCACAGTCTGGGGAAATACAACCATGTGTTAAAGAGTCATTAGGGAGCTGATGAAGGTGTTTAAGAATCACAGCCTGCTCATCATCGCTCTGCTAACGTCCCGTAGCTGCGTCACTGTGGTTCTGGATACAAAGACTTAAGTTTTGGCCGAGCTGGGTTTAACTTAGATGGAGTCTCTACTCCAGATGGAGCAGTAGCAGGCACTTGTGCAGCTTCAGGAATAAGTGTATTTCACGGTAAGAGTTTTCTCTTTTGACACAATGCCATGGCTTTTTCTTTAAACTCTACTATTTAATTTGAGTGTGTTGATATAATGCCTGACACTTATTTAAGTGGTCAGTTGTTTTTTCTTGCTGTATGTTCATTTATCTCTTGGATCTGTTTGTTATGTGGGGTAAGCTTGGCTTCAGACATGTTGTCTTGGTTGGGGCAATATAAATATTAACCTGGGTTGCATCAAATTTTATTTGGTGAAACCAGTGTGATCTTCACTGTGTGCATAGTCCTTTTTTTTCTTTCTTTGTTTTGTCTGCATCCTGTTTATAACATCACCAATGAGGGTTCCCTGAGTGGCCCCTCGGCTCTTTGACCTGCCTGCGTACTCTGACACTCTTGGGCCTCCTCGAATGCAGGCTAATTCAATTAATAAACAGATAGTGCTGCACTGCCAGCTGGAAAGCTCTCAGAGACACTGATAAATGAGCACTCGTTGTCTTGGGTTGATGGTGTGTGGGGAGGAGACTTTAGAAGCCATCTAATCTCCCCTCTCTCCCCTCTCTCACTCTCTCTCTGTCCCACTTCAACTCCCTTTTACCCTTTCTGTCCTTCTCCCCCGGCGCCTAGTTGGCAGGGAGTCAGGCAGCCCCAGATGCGCATCTTACTCACGCACACAGACAACTTTACTAGGGCCTCAGAAACATCAGGTGATTGCCTGCTCTGTGACTTAAGTGGCAGGAGATTGTCAAACCCTGATTGGTTTTCTTCTTTCACAAGGGGGGTGGGCCTCACCTCCCGGGTGCTGACTGACAGTCAGCGCTGTCAGCCTCAGAATTCATCCTGTGAAACACGGAAGACGTCCTTGTCAACACCAGTGACTATGATTGAGATCTGTAAGCTTGTTTAAATGCATTTTCTGTTTAAGTTGCATGTCAACTAGCTGTTTGTTATTTCTGCATGTTTAGACCATGCCCAGATAGATATCCAGTACATAAACTGTCAGCATATACAGACTGTAACTTAAATAGTAACAATGAGAAATAACAACATCTTAAACTAAGTCAGAGTCTTCCTCATTGCTGCATGTTGTAAGTCTCAGTGTGACTGTGATGTTGTGGACAGCTGCAGGCCTGTGTCCGCCCGCTGTGTGTTAGTGTAGAGCCTGCGGTATTTTAACCCCTGTCTCCCTGGTCACAAAGAAGAAGGGCTGTGGCCCCTGAGAGCTGTGCTGACGAGCTGTGGTGATGGCGATGAAGGGGGGGGTTAGGGTGATAAGCTGAAGGAGATAAACATTAAGAGAGCAAATTTAAAATAACATTCATAATGAGGGCCAATAGACAAAAACAAAATCATGTAGCTCCAGAAATGTAGTGCTGTTTCACTATGTCAGGCATCCCTGAAAGCCAAAACAGGCTTGGCAAGGTTGTAATTTCACTGTGCCGGTTTCATGTACAGATCACACGTACTGTGTATGGAAAGCCAAGTGAAGACACTAGACTACAAACACATATATGCCTTTTGTAAATATAATACAAACCTAAAGGGTATGCTATTTTTTGACTGTCCCACTTCCAAAATGATTTATTTGACTGTATCTCCTCCCTCCTGGTAAAAAGCTTTCCACTCGTGGACAGTGTGAGAGAGGAGTGGAGGGCTGATGTTGTGTTGTGGTCGTGTTCTAGCGTTGTGATCCAGACCAGCTGGATGCCATTCCCTATGGGAATCATGAATGTGAAGCTTGTTAAAAGATATGGAGCCCTGGACACGGCGTGGACTTACTGACAGCAGCTGGGAGAAGGGGGAAGGGAGCTGAGAGAGGAAAGAGCACTGGGAAAGAGAATAAAAAACTTTGTGGAATTCACAACAGTAGCCTTGAAAGGAACGCCTTTGTTTTCAGTTTTGCTGCTAGCGTCTTGCTAAAAGTGACAAGTAGACTAATTACAGACTAAGACTGGACTTTATTTAAGTTCATTAAAGTATTTATTCATGTCAGCAGTGCACTGTGTAAAAATACGTGCGTTAATGAAAGTTCCAACACTCTCTCAACCTTTTATTCCTAAAGGGGTTTCAAAAGTCATGAAAGGGTTCAGACATTGATTTCTTTTATTTTGTCTAGGTTTCTGTACAACAGATGAAGCCTGAAACATATTTTGGCACTTGTATGTTTGGAGTAGGATTTTTTCCTGGTCTTGTGGTTGTCTTTATGTGATGCCCAGAAAAACAGACTCTTGAGGAGGGGTGTATTCAGTAAACACGAACACAAACGTACCTTGAGAGTGCCTCTCTCTGGTCTCCCTTCCAGGCCGCTCAGAGAGACTTGCTCAGTCAGGGTTAAGTAGACCACATGGTTAAAGCAACAAACCTCCTGCTGGGTCAACAGCAATGGAGCAGTCTGAGGCTCACACCTTGCCAGCAAGCTCATCTCACGGGCAGACATCCAGACACACACACACACACACACACACACACATAGAGGAGAGAAAGGCTATTAGAATTATGAAGAGGAGGGACTAGTGGGATGGCAATCAGGAAAGGTAAAGTGGGAGAATGACAAGAGTGAAGGAGAGACAGAGGACACTCTAAGTGGCTTTGATTTGTTCTCCTGACATATGGATTTATAGAGCTATTCATCATCTCATGAATCTGCTCTTTAACTGTTGACAATCAGCACACTGACAGATGAGAGCATGTGCAAACTGGTAAACACTGTGTTTGGTGTACATTTTGTCCACTCAGAGGCTGAAGGCTGCACTTTCACACCACCCGGGTGCCATCGCCAACGGCAACATGAACTCCATGGGCCACATGATGGAGATGATGTCATCGCGGCAGGAGCAAGGCGGCCACCATCACATGCACTCACACCCGCACCAGCACCTGCAAGCCCCTCCCCACGCATACCAGCACCACGGCCATCACCACCACAGCCAGGGCCACAGCCAGGGTGGACACCACCACCCGCAGGGACACAACCCCCATCACAACTCCCACAATCCCCACCTCCATCCCGGGCACCCACACCAGACCTCACCGCACCCTCCAATGCACTCTTCTTCACATGTAAGCAAAGCACATTCCTGGGAGAGCCGAAGCTTTCAGACAGCCCAAAGGCAGAACCACAAGTTCAATAACACATTAACTACATTGCACATTAAAACCTTTCATATAGCTAGAAGCCACTGTATAGGTACCATGACTAAAACAAGGCAGCGCTTTAGAAGCCCTTTGAGCGGTTTTGAAGTTAGCTATTAGTGGTTTAGTATAGAAGTGTAGCTGAAATGATGCTTCAAATTCACAGTAAGTCAATGGACGAACACAATTTTCCCTTGCTTCAGCCATAATGCCAAGTAGTTTCCTGGCAACCATCTCAAAGGTAATTTTTTCCTTTGAGGTTGGTCAGCTACAGGTCAGTGTGGGATGCCTGCCATGGAGGGAAAGGGTCATGAAGAGGCTATTATAAAAGATGCTCAGGACTGTCTTCTGAAAATTATGCTCCATGCCATCCTTCTCTGCCAAGCTGCCATTACGTGGCCACAGCATGCTGCAGGTGCAGAGCTTTTATTAATGCTATTCCTGATGATGAACAGGCTACTAGTACTGTAACATCTTAGCTCTGACTGTATTTGGTTTAGTTTTAAATAAAAGTTTGAAAGTATTGCCCACGGCATTAAAAACAACATGATGTGAGACACTCCTTGCATTGTCTAGCGACCTCTGCAATGCTAAGCATTTATAGGAAAGTCCGACATCAAGAAAATGCATTTCACTGTATGCTCCAGATGTATCATTAAGGCATTGAAACAACACTCTCTGTAGGCATAGCGGCCACTAAAGCAGCTTGGATTTTCCATGGTTCTCATAAAAATGGTAATGATCTGAAGACTGAAAACACTTGACTTTGCCAAGTATATGTCAAGATCTGTCAGTGCACGTATGGTTTTAGAAACAAGTCTTTTGACTATGTCTGGTGGTGTTAGTCTGAGTGGAAGTGGGCGGTGGAAAACGGCATTCTGACACCTCTTTAACAAGGTGGGCATGCTGGTGAATCAGCCCAGTCACTCACTTACTCTGTCACTCCTGACGCCCACGGTCCGGCTCACAGGGCACGTGGCAAAGCCAAATGTTTTTTTTGGGGGTAGTTGCCAGATATGGAATAGCTGCAGGAGGTAATGTATAGATGCTTTTTTTTACGCTTTGAGGGCAGTAGAGGGCAGTTGAGAGGTGACAGCAATCAGGTGTGTCAGATTGGTTACATCTCCCCCCTCCCCCCCACCGTTTTTCAGATGTCACCTGCAACCCAGCAGATGCAGCCCACACAGACGATGCAGTCTCCGCCCCCCAGCGGCGGCCGGCGCAGGCGAGTAGTGGACGAGGATCCGGACGAACGTCGGCGGAAGTTCCTGGAGCGGAACAGAGCAGCAGCAACGAGATGCAGACAGAAGAGAAAAGTGTGGGTGATGTCATTAGAAAAGAAAGCGGAAGAGCTCACTCAGACCAACATGCAGCTTCAGGTACACAATGAACTTCAGGCGTTACTGCAATAATCCTCTGAACTTCTATGCACAGTACCACTGCCATTCACAACAGTCAGCATATAATTTTCTTATCAAAAAGCTTTGTGATATTATCCCATTTTGCACCAGAGATAGTGGCAGTAAGTTGGACTGATATGGGTTTGACAAGGTTAGTTGGATGTTGTCAGTGTCGGACAGGTATAACAATTTAATGTTTGATAAAGATCTTATTAGTGAATCATTGTAAAATGGATGTAGTTATCTTGAAGTGACTAAAATGGTGACTCAGCGTTGCACTTCCATTAAGGTGGGAGGCTCACAAGAAAAAACAAATGGTAAAAATTAAAGCAGCAGCCCATAATGCATCTTTTGTCAGACCCTACCTGCCTGGTAAATGCCCTCATCTTTCAAACTCCATGTCACACATTTTTAACACAGTTTTTCACTTTAAAAAATGTCTCAAGTCTTAATCCCAATCCAAGATATAAAACAACCCTGATGACCATATAAATATATAACAGTTGGGAATGGGAATACATAGGATAATAACGTAGCCTGCTTTAATTGTGATTCCCTGGGTGATATCTGAGTCTTAAATTGCTTGTGTGTTTTCCCGCATTTCAGAATGAAGTGACCATGCTAAAGAACGAGGTGACCCAACTCAAGCAGCTTCTCCTCACACACAAGGACTGTCCCATCACCACTATGCAGAAAGAGTCCCAAGGTTACCTCAGTGAGTAGCTCAAACACAGACACACACACAATTGGGAATTGGACCAAAAACACACATTCTTCTGTGTTCCTTAGCCCCGCAGTGCAGATAGCCCTGAAAATGCGTCGTTAATTGTCTTGCCAGAGGAAGGGTTTAAACTCTACAGGCTGAACTGTGATGGACACACAGTGACTGCCAAGACTCTTCTCTCCTATGTGCTGGTATCCAGCTCCCACGCTCGCTGCAGGACTCTTCGATTCGCATATGGGTGTTGCACACTCTGGTAGTTTGCCTGGACTGGGAGTTGGTAGTCTGAATCCCATATGAGACTAGTTTTTCCATCTGATGGCACAGAGGCTGCCGAGACACAACGTGAGAAAGACGCCACATTGCACATTGGCATCCAAACTCTCATGGATGCCCCAGGACCTCGCTGATTATTGCACTGTGCCTCAACTCTCAGCCGGGCATGACATCAGAGCCCCACCCTTTGATACGGATACAAATAACATTTCCGTGTAATTAGGATAAGGCACCTCCCTGTGTGGCTTTAGCACAGGAAAATAAGGCTCACATCCATCTTAGCTGAATAGTTCTTTTATACAGAAGAGAGCCAACTCCCAGTCTGGGCTGGGAGAGACTTCCATCGATGAGTCTAGCTTGCGTACAGATGTCACTTTCAATGTGTCCAAAAGTCATCAGGCATGTTTATGGAGTTGAGTGATTCACTATTCCATTTTTCTGTTATTCATCCTATTTAGGGATGACAAGTGTGACTGAAATGAGTGTGCCATGTGTTTGAAATGTATCTGCTAATAAATAAAGCTGTTTTTTTAAATGATGAGATTTGTTCTGTTTTTATTTAGATTTATTTTACTATCATTATAATACAAAACATATACAATTATATTTTGAAGCCTCTGTGTAGAGCTTGAAGATCGTAGTATTTACACTTGTGCGCACACGCTCATATTGTGCACACATGTCGTCCATCCTCAGTGATGTCTCTGCTGTCTCCTCAGGTCCAGAGAGCAGTCCGGCGGGCAGTCCAGCGCCAGCGTGCTCCCAGCAGCAGGTCATTCAGCACAACACCATCACCACCTCCACCACAACCGTAGGGGGCAGCAGTGTGCACGGGCAAACCAACCACCGCACAGACATTAACCCCATCCACTAGGGAGAGGAGAGACTAGAACCCCAGCTGTATCCCCAAACAACCCCCTACTACCCTGCTTTCTGAGGGTTGCCAGCTGCACTTGCTGCCCCCCCCCCCTCCATCAAGAAAAACCTCAAAGGCCTGTGAGGCTGTTCTTTATACAGTAGCTACAGTATGTATTTTTATAGACCAACCCTGTTAATGCGTAAATGTTCTATGGTTTGCCTGTTGTATGTTTTATCTGTTTTTTGTGCTTTTAGCAAAAAGGGAGTTTTGCTAATCCCATGCAGCATTTAAGTGACTTTTTCCTGTTGTGTAATGGTACAAAATGGACCAAGGTGGTCAAGAAACCAGAGGAAAGAGACACAAGCCTCAGACAGTCATCTCTACATGCAAACCTTACATCTCTGTATGCCTGACGGACTGAAATATGAATCAGATCACTATTTGAATATCACACGTGGACAGTATGTTGAGTGTATGCAACAGACTCTGTGAGTGAATAAGTGAGTAGGATGTCGCTGCCTTTAAGTTGTCTTCTGACGCTAAGTCAAACTGTCACCATGATGTCTTGGAGAGGAATATGCAAACCGGTGTAATGATGCTTTTCTTTCCTAGAAACGGATATGACTGTTAACCTTTTCCCTGTCAGCGGTATTCTTAGAGTGTGTTATAAAGCATGACAGTGAAAACGTGACCAAATGGAAGCAATACATCGCAGTATTGATCATATTCTCTGCCGTATGTCCACATCACGATCAGCATGGCCAAGCCACTCTGGTCTCGAGGACATACGATGCTGTTACAGCTACAGAACTGTACACTGTGATACCAGTGAGGAAGCTTGGGGATTTGAAACAAACTCCTCCGCTCTCCAGGACCAACTGAAGCTTTAATTACTGAGGCCTCTCTTTTTGTGCGTTTGTGCATCTGGATCCACATTTTGGTGGTCACATATAACATTCGATTACGTGTGTCTGCATAGTTTTGGGTGTGCATGTGAATGATATGCATTATGCATTTGTGTTTTGTCTTCTTTCTTCTGCAGAACAAAGTTCAGCAGGGGTGTAAAGAAAGAAAAACAAAAAAGTGTGTGAGAAAGACTATGAGCATGATTGTTTTGTTTTTTCACTGGCATCCCACTACTGGCAGAGTGGTTTACAGTTTCTAAAGAGGAGCAGTTTATGCCTGTGCTTTCCAAAATGTCACAATGTGCCTAAATCTTTCTTAAAATCTTCTGTTGGCTTACTGTACACAGCAAAGTGCCACTCATTTTCTTCAAATAGTCAAAAACATTTAACTCAGCATATTATTAACGAGTTTTCTCTGTTATCAGCTTTGTTGTGGATGTCTGCTGAATGTGAGGGCAAGACCAGTTGACTAAAGAGAGAAATACCCATTTACCATTTGACCTCTTCATCAATTTTTCTATCTCAGGCCTCCTCTGCAGTATCAGATTGGAGACAGATGATACTGGCTTGACCTTTTTTCATCCCCTTTCCAGCCTTGAAACATCATGCCTTCTCATTGAACACAACTCCTATTTTTCCTCTGTCCTATGACCAGGAATGTTGATTCATTAACGTGATGACCATAATGCACTGTGTTCTACAGGAGGTTGGATGACATACATTCCACTGACAGGTGGAGCAATCGCAGAGCTGTCTATGCACTTTGTCCTCTGTCGCGCCAGAGGGTTGAATAGCCATATTAAGGTCCGAGTAATTCTCAGTGAGCCCCCTTTTTCACACACCAGCGAGAAACTTAACTGTGTTTGGCTTTATGGAGAGCCTGTGCCTGGCATGCATCATACATGTCTAAGAAAATGGGAACCTAGAGCTCATATTCTAGGATAAGGCTCAATTAAGGACCGTGTGCCCTGTTAATTCTGTAAAAAAAAAAAAAAAAAAAAAAAATAAACCTGCAGTTTTGTCGAAGATGAAGGAAGCTTACATGTTAATTGAAAATCTGTATCCTCATAATTCAAGTTTTGTGGAAACATTCAGACTGTTTATGTCACGTCTTAACCTTGGAGTCTGTGTGCGCAGTTTGATATGTGTGGTGATGAGACAGACAAATAGATTCTCTTGAAAAGGGCTTTGCTGCAACGACCCTTTCAACTGAAGCTTGCCTTATTTCGTGTGAAAATGTGGGTATGACCTCAAAATACTTTCAACTGGAATCACTTGGAGGGTGTTGCTATTTTAGAGTTAAGATATGAAGTTTCATTTTTGACAGTGGATCCGTGTTCAGCAAAAAACATTTGTGACTGTAGAGGCAGACAAAAAGGACAGATGGGAGTGCAGTGAGTGTGTTTGTGAAAGTGGAGAACAATTCCTACACGTTAATGATGTTATAATTGTATTATTTTAAATCTAAAACTATAAATATTGTACATAATGTCATTAATTTCTGTTATCCTGTACATGTAATGCAACCACCTTTCTTTTTGAAGGGAGTAAATGTGTGGTACATGTTTGTAAATAATATTTGCATAGCACTTGCCTTTTGTTGTACGTTGAGGCTCATTTCAGCGCTTAAAATACATTGTTTATATGTAATGAACTGATGAATCCATTCTTTCCTGCATAACTTTGTACATTTTTTTTGTGCCTGTAATGAAATTGTCCCCATTTTGTTTTGTATTTGTACAGATGTTAAAGTGTCACTGCAGTTACATTACGGTATGAAAATAAAGCACTTGTTCTGGAACATAAAACTAACTGATGTGATTGGATGTCAAGAAGTACCTGTTACTTGAAATCTAGTGCCACAGTGATTTCCGGTAACCAGAATGCAAAAATGAACTGAGGGACATCAATTGAATATTTCGAGAATTCTATTTAAAAAAAAAAAAAAAAAAAAAGAGTACTCATGTTCAAACAAAATGATCAATAGTATTTCCCAATGCTTGTCCTTGACACATAACTGCTCATTAAATAGTTAAAAGCTTTAAAGGTTTAGAATACTCATTAATTATTGAACTGTCTAGACATCTTGATAGTTGCCTGATGAAATAACATGGCAGTTTACTTTGGTACACAAACATCTTTGTGGCATTCTGTCAGAATCACTTCAGAGCGCTGCAGCGTGTCAAATACATTTTAAAGCCACAACAGTAGCTGAAATAATATTAACCGAAATAATATTAACCAGTGTTTTGTTTTGTCGCAACATGCAAAGTGAGCAAAGATACTTTCTTCAGATATTCAGTAAGTTTATATTGTTATTAAGATCAAAGTTCAGATATTCAAAAGTGCTAATGGTATCAACTTTTTAAAAATACACTGACTGACCACAGCAGTTCTCATAAGTGTTCTGATGTTTTTTCATTTATGGGTATCCAATTAAATTCTTTTGGAGCACAGTGACCCCTGGTGGACATTTTGTTGACTAACCAAATACTACTTACTAGGATAAAATCCCATTCTTCTCTGTAATACCCTGCAACAGAAGCTATTGAGAAGAGGGTGGCAGACTGCAGTCTTCTCTGATTATTAAGACATATTTAGAAAAACAAAACATTTTATTTCAAGACAAATCAGCTGTGGTTCATTCTTTACATTTCCTCTCCAAAACGTGTAGTGATTGAATGCACCATAAGCTATTACGGTTTCCTTGCACAAATCAACAAAATCAAGCAAAACAATGATTTTCATAGAAACTCCTGATAATCTGAAAACTGCCATTTAATTTTCACCTAATTTTAATTCAAAATAATAATAAAATCAGCTGCAGACTCATGTACGAATCCAACATCGCCTGAGACAATCAAGATTCAATAATCACCAATATGCTCTCTGAGGTGGAGGTGCTTTAATCAGTGCTGAAACGCTTCATATCCAGCCTCGTGTTGAAAGGAATCGGTCAATCATATCAAAGGACCTCGCTGGCTGGTCATAGGGCAGAATATGCCCTCCCCCTCGGATGATTATCTACATGACAAGAGGACAGATTTCAGAATATTAAAACAAGTGTTTGTTGGAGTACTTTTCACATAGTTTTGACCATTGTTAGCATCTGCTCACCTGGTAAAACTCTCCCACTTGTCTCACGTAACCTGCCACTTCTGTGTCGCTGGGCTGAACCTTCCAGTGAAAGCGAGGGGCTGTTTTGTACTCGGCAGCCCCGGTCCAGTTGACAGTAGGCAGGAACCTCTCAGTCAGTGGGGCTGCTACAATGACATCCAGCTGACCACTGTACATTAAGACCTGGGTGCATGTAGAAATGGAAAACACAGAAAAACTGTCAGAGAGGTATTAGAGGGACTTTTGTAATAAATGGTGAAAAAAATTTAACATCATGTTTTTTTTTATACAAACATTTAGAGACATTGTTTGCGCATCTGATTTATCAGTTAGAATATTCAATCATGCTATTGCAATCTTATGCTATTGTCATATCACAACACACACAGTGGACCAAGGTACCATTGTACGTTGCTGCAGTGGATAATCCTACACCCCTCACCCTATAGTTGTCCATCAGCACCCCCAGCCACGGTTTTATGCTCTTCATGACATCCTCCAGAAGATGCTTCTCCACCTCCGAGCCGTTGTTGAACGTCAGGTTCCCCACATGGATGGCGCGTCGCACCACTGGCAGAGTCACAAACTGGGAGAAGTACTCCTGGTCTTCAGGTTCCTGCAGTGCACAAAAAGTATTGTTAGTAGTTTGTATATAAAGTTTAAATGTTTTTCTGACAGGCAGCTTTGAACTCAGCCAGTAGGTTTTTGAGTACCTGACATGTCATGTAGTTGAAGTAGTTGGTGCAGCCTGTAGCATTTTGGAAGAAGGACGGATATGGTTCCACGTCACCGTTCAGCAAGCTATCAAAAACCTGAAGTCAGACAAAACGGTCAGCTGAATCTCATTCACAACAAGGTTCTTTGATATTATTCACAATTTTAATGTTTGTCTGAGAAAGATATGATACTAAAAAATGGCATTAATTTATTCACCAATTAGAAATGTGTAAATACAGACAACCCAATTGTATTTGTTGTCGATTCGCTTGTTATGTAAGAGGCACCCAGCATCTCTTACCTGAAAAGCCTCCACCCACTTCTGCTGGTGGATGAGTTTAACCCCTAAGTCTGTCTGCTGGATGACGTACTGCCTTTGGAGTTCATCTATCATGCCCGTTTGGTACAGGAACTCACCGTAACCACCAAGCATCTGAAATGGAAAGAAGTAAAACATTATATCATCTAATTTTTTGCACATACATAACTGTACTGTAGATGTCCCAAAGAGCAACAAGGACAATCTGGAGACCTGAGAAGTTCACAAGTCACACAAGTTGAAAGAGAATATCAGAAAATGAGACTTTAACAGACACGCACCATTTCTGGATCACAGAGCCCGTCACCAATAGCCATCCCTATGAGGTTAATTTTCACTTTGGCAGTGGGGTTGTTTTTATGGATGTAATAAGAAATGGCAGGAACATACTTCCCTGCATACGACTGCATGGGGACAGAGAAGGTTTACACGGGTTAGAGCAATATTTTAAATAGGTAGAAGTTTTTTAGTTGTTGTTTTCAGACACTATTATGGTCTGGTGATATTTTAACAAGGATTTTACAAATCATACATTTGGAAACATTCTACTGTTATGTGTACAAGGTCAAAAGTCATTAATGTCAAGCTACTACTAAAAACGGCAACAATATTAATTTGCAACGCTAGAAAAGAAAAAAACGCCATACCTCCCCAGTTGCATAGAACTCATTGGATTGATACTCAGGAAAGAGCTGGAAAAACTGGGTTAAAGCACTGTTAAAGGAAGAGATGGGAATAAAGACTTAGAAGTCAAACATTAATCAAACACCAGACTTAAAGACCAAAATCAGAAGAATATTATGTTTGAGTTGGATGTTTTACCTGTACAGATCTCTGCCAACATCATCCTGATTCTGAGCAAAACCTCTGTCATCCTCAGTGAAGCTGAAGCCTGTTCCGACCTAGAAAAACAAACAGCTCTTCCTCAAAGACTTGTCAGTAAATATTCATGCACATGAAAATCCCCGATAAGCTGAGTAACCATGCATGAAATTAGTTTGAGGCTTTTGTGTGTGAGGAAAGCAATACGTACTGGATTGTCAATGTACAAAACTGAATATCTCGATGTCCAAGTGTAATTCCTCAAACCAACTGCAAAGAAAAAAAAATAAGCAGATCAGGAAAGCCAACTATACAGGGCTTAAGCTTATACACGTTTATACAAGCTTCTATAGTACCAAATCACTTCTTACCAGTCAAGTTTTTGTACACCACATATGGTCCATGTTCCACAAAGAGACCGAACATGGAGGTGCCACCAGGTCCGCCTTGCAGCCAGAGCAGGACTGGTGCTTTGTCTTGGCTTGCCTGTCAGTCAGAGCAGGGCACACAGAAAGCTGAGATCTCAGCACCACCCAGTGGTGACTTCAGTTTATTAACAAAAAAATTTAAATAAATAAATACCTGACAAGTGTCTTGCTTAGGGATAAAAATAATAACATTGGTAGATAGATGTGAGGCAGAGGAAACTGAACTTGGGTCTCCCACAACAAGATCTTATCCACTGCGCCATTGACACACAAGTTACCATTGCTAACTGTTTAAAGATAGTCAAACATATTGTTTATATTGTTTTAAAATGTACTAATCATTGTTTGCTTACATTTTTGTTTCCTCTGTTCTTCATTCCAGTCAGTTATATTAATATTTAAAATTTTAGATTTTTTTAAGACAATAGATCATCATGCATGTCTCTTGTCTCAGGAATGGGTTTAAATATGTGGGTGATGCACTAACTCTCATATAGTATGCATATTAGTAAACACTGACTCCTCTTAATGGTAGCTGTCAATCAAAAAAACAAATATTTTATGGCTGCAAGACTGATCTTTCATTCAGTGTCACAGAAGTGTCATGTTGTGACATTACTGCATTTAAGTATAAAAATACAGATATGAAACTTGGTTACTGATTTATAGCTTTGACAAAAAGATCTTGGAATATACCCACTCTTGCTTTAAGACCTTGATGGAAAAAGCGTGACTTTTTGAGTTTAGACTATGAACATAGCTGGCATTCCTGCACTGCAGCTGACTAAATACATACAGTTCAATCCTTATCACAAGCTGACTGAGGGCAGATAAAACACACAAAGTAAAATCAAGTTGAGTTCCAAAGAAATCAAGCACAAGAAAGACTATTTATCTCAAAATGCCTGCCTCATCCTTGTGCTCAGTAAAGTTTGAAAAGCCCCTGTTGTACATAAGAAGATTGGGCCTACCATCAGTGCAGGGAAGAACCAAAAGAAGAAATTGCTGTTGTATTTTTTATTGACAGTGAGGTACCCGGCATAGCTCTTGACGTTGGCACCTGGCAGATCTCCCACTTGACTTAGTTTCCTGGCTGGAGCAGAAAGAAAAGATGTCTGATTGGTGGCGCAGACAAACTGCAATCCAATGGAATGACTTGCGGACTGTAGTATCATGTCAATACTCTAATGTGGGTTATACCTTCATCTATGGCGCCCTTCTCCAGGTAAGGAGTGAGAAAGAGGGGAGACCCGGGGTCGGCTCCATTCAGGCCGCTGACACGGTGAGATTTTCGGCAGAAAAACGACGAGCAGCGCCGCGAGTGTGCAGAGTCCAGACAGGCCCACAGTAACAGGAAACTCAGAGTTTCCCCACACAGCCTGCGAAAATTAACAAAATACATATCAGACTACAGGCCCCGGCAAATGATGCGTGAACCTCACACACCGCAAGTCACTCAGATTGATTTCAAAACAGTCTGACCACAAGCACAGCACGTGTCTGACAGCAGGCTGGCTAATTGGGAATAAAACAAGTTTTAATTCATTGTAACTCACCTCATGTTCACTGTTATTTCTATTGCAAAGGGAACAAGTTCAGCCTTTAATCAAATAAGCGTCTTCCATCCATGGACTGACGGGAAAGTGTGAATCTGTCGCTGGCTAGGTCACATGACCAACTTTGCATAGGTCACGTGACATGTAAAATCACGTGGTCGTTGTTGTGACGCAGCAGCGTTTCAGCCCTATTGTCGGTCTTGCAGGAACTCCCGACCTCTTAACTAAGTAAACAGAAAGATCAACGTTTCTTTTTTTGATTTTTTTTTTTACTAAAACAGCCACTGAAAACAGAACTATTTCAGAGTAGATTAGTCTGACATGGTGAGTAAACTGTTTTCAACCGTTTAACTAGAAGACAGGATACACATAAGAAGCACGATTGTAACGTTATAGTATTGGTGTGTTCTTTTGTATAGGCTACACTTTTGTGTATACATATACAGTTTATGATTCTGGATCATTTGAGGGCAAGCAGGTCTGCTAATGACCAATTTGCATTTAGTGCAAACGTTGTCGGCTAACGTTACTCAGCATTTGGTAGGCACGCCAATTTACATGGACATAATGTTACTTTAACATTTTTGAAGGGATGTTTTTGCCTGTTCCGTGTATCTTCACAAAAAAATGGCAAAATGAAGTACCTATAGGTGTACGTTACTTAGCCTATAACTACTAAAATCACAGTGAAGTAAAACTATAGGCTATAACTAGGTCAGGTGCTGGTGAGGTGACAGTTAACAAAAAAAATAAATATAGTAATAAATCATTGAATGAATAAATTATCAAATTTTAAATGGGGTATTTCATAATTGAATTTAAGCACTCATTGTATTTCCTGTTCAGAACAAAGTGCTAAAGTGCTCTATTTAAACTTGCTACCAAAACAATGCTGAGTCAGGATTTGTAGCTTACTATACACTTTATATAATTGGGTAGTATAAAATCTAGGACCCTATTGCTACATGACTGTGTTGGCTTTGCCTCTCACTGTAAACTAGGGAATACAAATTTGGGTGAAGCCACATAGGCTGTGATAGGCTGAGACACCTCCCAAGAAAGCAAAAACGCCCCAAAGTCAAATCTCCTCAAAATAGCCACAAATTAGAGAATGCACAATTAAAGTTTTATTGTGGGATTTGCCTCTATTTATTGTTGTTGTTTTTTTTTGATGATTCCATTGTTTCCTTCCGGCCCAGCACCAGACAGCAGACAGAGGTATTTTTCAGGAGTTGGTGGAGACCAAACCAGAGTGAAAAGACCACTGAATAATGGATTTGGATTCATCAGGTGGCCAGAAGCGCAACTCCAGAGGGATGATAATGTTGCCCCATGTCTGTTGGATGTGTAAGTTGGTAATTTTTTAACAAGTTAGCCAGAATTACTTTAGTTGATAAGGCTGTGTGTTTGTATGCACCAGTGGCCTAAAATTGATCCATGCAGCTTTAAACATGTAACCATGTATGTAAAATCACTCACAATGTCTTATTGGATAGGCTCGGCTTGACAATGTATGTTTTGAGGCAGACACAGCTTGTTTTCTTTTTTTTGTGACCAGTATTTGCTTACAGTTTAGTTGCACACTGGAAGCTGCCCACTACAACCACACCATATTATGTGTTGGTCATTGAACATCTACATTGGAGCTAGGAGGGCAAAGCGTCTTTCTCAAAGGTATATCAGCAGTAGTAATGACAGTCAAGGGAGTGCTCTTTCTCAGTTTTTTTTGCCATTTAAACTGGCAAACAGCTGGTCACAAACAAAATTAAAATGACAGCAATTCACCCAAGTTGTTTCACAATACAAGATGAGTAAAAGACAGTAAAATTAAGGCATTATAGGAAAGTTAGGGGCCTGGTCTTCCAAACCTCCCTTTAAAACCTGTAGTTAATCTCACACAGACACCACGTTCAGTTTTCTTCAGTGTGATCCCAGGGAAATGGGAAAGCAGCCCCACCAGATGGCGCAAAAACACTGACATTAAGTCTGGTCCTGTCAACATAAAATTATATAATATGACATTTGATGAAAAATGCAATGCCGAAGCTGGAATAATTAGGTATAGGCTACCATTTGCATGAATCTCATATAACCGGGAGTTTAAAACGTCTGTTTTGAATTCTGCAAACAGAACTAGAGTCGGTTGATTTGGGATTTTTTTGCCAGCTGGGGTTGCTTACATCTGGCAACGCTAGCTCCAAACTTTCTCTTTAAGAAGGCGCGTCAACGCTGCAGTGTAGTGTGTTTATTGCAATTCTTAAAGTGGCACATGGAAACCATGGCTGATCTCTACATGGCACAAATCTAGACCTACACCTTTTTTTCTGCCCAGTGTGAGGAAATGCTCTGGAGAAAGTGATCCGAGGAGAATGTTCCTGTAGCTTGGCTGACTGTTTTTGTTTTTTTTTAATCTGTGGCGGCAGCACCTTCAGTGTTGCGGCAGCGTGAGCTCCCCACCGAGGCGCGCAGCGAGCCGACTGGGAACGATCGGCGGATTCAGACAGACGAGTGGTGGGCTCGGGACTCCGGACGATACATGAAATAGTCACCGACAGAGTCGTCAAAGGTGAAGCATATTGGGGCGTGGGTGAAATGGAGGCACCGCCGGGAACGAGCTGCTGTGAGCGCACCTTGGCCAAGCGGGAGTAACCGAGCCGTGAGACGGGTTGGGATGGCAGCGTCCAGTAACTCAAGCCTCTCAGGTTCATCTGTGTCCTCTGGTAAGAGTTCACACAATCCAGACTCATAGAAACTGAGGCTTTGCATATAATGTATATTAGCCTTAATAACAATAATAGTAATAATAACATTCCTTTGTGAGGAGTTTTTCATTGTTTGTCTGTGTGCTTTGAAACGTGTGCCTTTTTTTTTTGACTTGAATCAAACTTTTAACATATGCTCACCACCACCATGCACCAGGAAATGTCACATCTTTTTATTTCCTCATCTGCATCTCACATGTGCTTGGTAAACATTAGACAAATAGACTATTATTGTAGAGGCTTCCAGTGACTGCTGTGATTTAGGATGAACAGTAAGTGCAAAGCATCCCCATCTGTTATATCTGGATGCACTGGTGGAAACATTAGAGGGAAATGGCACCTTCTGTGTGCGCAGAGATTATAAGGTTGTGAGATGCAGTCAGTCTGACATTGGGTTTGGATGTTATCATTAGATTGCCAATCATCTCCATAATTCCCTTACTGGCTTTTCCACTTGGCTGGCTTTTAGGGTTATCTTTGGCCTGTGTAGTGTACCATTTTCGCAGCACTAGACTGGGACATTTTCTGACAGTGTAAAAAAAATTAATATGTTATGCTCCAGTGACAAATACAGTTATAATGCTACAGTGTTCAGAAAACTCCAAAACAACTCCTGTCTGCTTCTAATGAGGTATAGTTCAACGAGGAACACCTATTATATATTTGTAAAAAAAATTCAGTTCAGGGTCCAGTTTTCACAGAATGAGAACAGAATGTGGGTTAGCAGCTGTTTAAACAAACTCAGAATTAAGTAGCAGCTCCATGCTTATCTCTATGTATATCCTATTATGTGTTGATAAAGCGCATTGCTCATGTTTACCAGATTATAAAGTACAAACTCCACTATCACAGTGCTGTTTGATGTGGAAACCACACCAAAAACCAGAGACGTGTGTGCGGACGACAGTGTGTGTGACAAGAGTAGGGAGGGGCTGTTTATAATACCAGGCTCAGCACTTTGGTTTATGTTTGCTCTGTCCACCGATATTTTATATTGTGCTGTGAAGAGTCACATCTACAAAATGTGTCGTTATACTTTTTCCACCTCCAACGTAATACATTGTTTAAACATTGCATGGCAGAGGTATAGGTTTCTTACAGGGTGAGGACATTGTATACACACTGTTTGTTTTTCTTTCTTACTCTTCGCATCGCGATCCCACCACACAGAAGAGTCACATTTCCCATGGTACAGCCCAATGGGAGAGACAGTCGTTTCCAAGCTGATATAGCCAGTGGTGACCACATGCTTCACAAAGCATTATCTCATATGTGCATTTCAGAAAGGAGCGGATTTACTGTTTGACCACTGCTGCTTTAAGAGGAAAGTCTTTTCTTTCTGTGGCATTGGAAGGTTGTCATTACCGTTAGGCTCTCAATATAATTATCAGAGGTTACAAGCTGCACCGCTGCCAGGGATAGAGTGGTTGTCACAAGGGTATTATTATTTTCATGCAGAGCTCTTTGGCAGTCAGACACAACATTTGAATAATCTTGTCTATGAGGCATATGACTCAAATATGAATCTTGGCTCAATTTTTGCTCCATATTAGGTCGTCTGATCTGGCTGCAAACAGAATGCTCTTGCTGTCCTTATTTTATCTGCTTGTAATGTTAGGTCTGGCTAGTAATCCCCTTCGGGGGCTGTTTTTTGGGGGAGAGTGAGTAAATAAAGTTCATCCAACCAACTAATCCAGCTAATGGCAGCTTTTTGTGCTGAGTACTGATCTATGATAATGGTGATTATATTATGGGAGCATTGATTTATTTCTGTACTCCCTGCAAATGATCGAAACAAAGGAACAATGGAATGCGCACAAACCACCTTGCAATGTATGGACTACATTTTAAATATATAATTAAATTATTTTGCATATATATATATATATATATATATATGACAGTTTATAATTGCAGCCTTAATACACAGGTGATAAATAGTAGATGCACCCTACATTTTTGAGGCTTGCCATAATAGGTTGACTGACAAACCAAAATGATTGCCAAGAGATTGCAACATTTATGTTGCAATCTCTTCCTTTGCCTGGCTGCTCATCTAAATCAGGGAGATTCCTACACATTCTTGGCACGGGTGGGCATGGAAGCATGTACTGTACCAGCAGCACACCATTTGCCAGACGGCTCCAGGAAGAAAAAGCTTTTAAAATAAATTGAGGGATAGAGCATGAAAGTATGCCTTCAGCACCAGGCCTTAAATGACAAAATTGGTCAGGGAGGCAGAATTACAGCCATGTATTACAGAGAGGCTGTCTGCTCAACACAATCCTGCACATGTTTCTGGCAAATGCTGCAGTTCACCTCGGAATCTTTCCACCACATGTATTTGTTGTCCTTAACAGTGTAAATCATGTAGG